TGTGAAAATTTACTTTCGAGTAACAATAAAAAAAAAATACAAAAATGCTTGAAATCTTGTTAAATGATAACCAGAAATATAAAAAAATTTTGTATTTCACGTTGTTAAACACTAACATAAAGAAACTGGAACAATTTCTAAGCGATATTCAAGAAATTTTTTAATGGTTGAAAGAAGTATGAACTTAAAATATTAAAAAATATATATTTTTTAATGATCTCTTTTTTATATATTTTTAAAAATAAAATATTCCAAAAATTTATAAAATTAAAGTAATATTTAATAACGCTTCAGGTTACATGTTATGATTAAAATTTTATAATATTTAATAACGTGTTTATTATGAAATACGATACATTGAGATCATATTAAAGGCATTTATTGAGTAATTAAAAGTTAAAAGGAAACAAATTATATAGTTTTTAATCTATTAAATGAAAGATAATCTTTGTAAATTATAGAAATCTGTTGGAAAAAAATACGTTTTCTGTAAGAATTCACATTGAACATGCTGAAAAAAATGATGAAAGTCATTGCAAGAAGTCATTTTAAAAATAGAGCTTTCCCTTGCATTTTTCCAAAAATATTCACTAAAATAAATTTTTTTAAATTAAAAAAGTAGCACGGAATATAAAATTACAGAGATATAAGTTACTTTTTACATAAAGAAAAAGCATAATTTTCTTACTATTTCCAATAATTCAGGCTAACGTCTTAAAAAATATTGGATATTTTTTAAAGTTAATCTACATAGAAATTTAATTTTGAAAAAATACAAAATCTTATTTGTAAAATAAACTAAATAATATGTATTCGAATTTAAAAAACCATAATAACAATAATAAAAGAAATACTTCATTTTTCATAAAGTCTTCTTCATTAGTAAAATCTTTTAAATTTATTGAAATTCCCTTTCAAGATGAATAACAACAACACCGCCGTCACCATCACCAACAACAGCAGTATTTTGTAACAAACCGTCAATTTAAAAAAAAAATATTCCTGTATTTCATACTTAAATAAAGAAGAATCTTTTTATCCGATTTTTTCTCTTTTTCCTTTATTAGAAAGGCGGATTCTAATATTGAATTTTTATCAACTTTTAGATATAATGTACTAAGTTTTGTATAGGGTAAGGTGTCTAGTTTTGTAACTGATTCTCTTCCATATCAACTAACGAAGTAGATAATTACTGAATGGCACAATACGAAACAAACTTGTTAATGAACAACCGGTTAGACTATATTTCGATCTCCCAACCCACTAATTGCTATTAGAAGCAAACAGGGCATAAATATTCTACCGTTTCATTTCCCACTTCCATTATCGGGCGTCACAAAAGGGTCACGCGATTCAACCTATTCTCTCTCTCTTATCCAGGTACATTTTGTGGATCGATTGAAAGTGGTTTTTCAATCTCGTGTCGTTCTAGGCGTTTCTATTCTCGAGGTCAAGAATTCGATTTGTTCCCATGAATATTTAACTATTAATTGCAACATGGATATCCTCCAATCACGTAAAAGGTGGGGGAACCATTCTCTTAGTCTCTTATGAGAATCAAAATGTTTAAAATTCGTCAGCTCTTATGTGATCTGAAATATTTACATGCTAGAAAGAAAGAAAGAAAGAAAAAAAACCAAATAAAATAACGGACAAATATAAAAAAGTTGACTCTGTTACAAGGTGTTAGCCGTATTATTTTAAAAACATTGTTTATGTATGACATGAAAAGTTTTTTGATACATAAATTTTATACTTTTTAACAAAAATCTGCTTTTATCAAATTGAATTTGCATTTCTATAGAAAAGTTTTCTTTTCCTTAGTATTATGAAGTTTAAGAATATTGCCTATTTTTTATATTTTTTATCTTTATTCAAAGAAAACAAATTCCTCTCGAGAACTATGCTCTATAAATATATTGTTGTATATTACAATAGAGTAAAATACAACTAAATCCAAAAATGAATGTAAGAAACTTGTAAAAAAAACTTAGAATTATTTTAATATTTTTTAAAACAAGAATTAAAAGCTATTTTTATATAAAATTTCTAATTTCTTCCTAGTATGAATAAAGGATTTTTATTATATTTATTATGATCAATTATAATAAACGATTTTAGTAGTAGATTCCCTAGATAAATATCTTCAGATTTCTTTAACCAGATTCAAAATCTTAAGACGATTAAAAAATTTTACGATGATTCAGATGATGATGGTTAAGGAATATTTTAAGTAAAGATGATTTAAATCTAAAAAATTTAAGACTTCATTAACTAGAAGGGAAGAACCCTAGATTTCTTCGCATCTAGTTACTGAAATCATACTTCTACTCTATATTAGATTCGCATCATCTTCTGAAAACCCTCTTAAATTATTACATAAATTCTTGATAATTTAAAATAAAACAATTTAAATAAAAATATATACATACAAATAATTTATATAAGTTAAAAGACTTTAATAAGCATTTATATTAAAATTGAACTGTATTTAATATGAAAGTTTTCCGTGTTGAATCATATTTCAATTAAATAAATTCCACAGAGGACTAATTACGTTCAATTTCTCACAAAATCTATAATTTAGTTTAACTAATGATGGAACGATTGATGATTAATAGAAATGTTCATCACACCAAAGTTTACTTGTTTGTAACCACGTTTATAAACATTCTTCTTCACGCACGATTTTTCTTCTTCCTCTCTGTATACGTTTCTAGTTTGTAAAATTATCTGTTGCATGAGAAATTCAATATTAATTCAATAAGAAATTTTACTCGAGCATAAAGGAATACAAAATTTTAAATATTTTATACGACTACAAAGTTTTGTAGAATGTTGTATTTTTATTAAATGCTAAACTTGATTATGTATTAATAATTCTGAAGCGGATGAAGATAATGCAAACCGCAGTCTAATCTCAGATGTATCCTTTAGGGAGGTATAATTAATCATTTCGAATTCAAAAATGGTAAATTCGACTATAAAATTACTTGGCGTTGTTGGATTTTAAGTTTCTTATTATCATAGTTCCTGTTGTTTGTTTAAAAATATAATCTTTACACCTTTTCCTTTACGTTTTTTATATAACATTTTCAAATATAATACAATATTTAATATAAAATTTTGTTTTAAGATCAATTATTTAATGAAATGATAAGCTTTAATCATCATATTCTTAAAAATTATCTCATTAAAAGTCATTATATTCGGATGTAATGTTTACATTAAAACATAATAGAATTAATTAAGAAATTTCTCATTTTATAAAATTTTAATCAAATTTGCGACACGACACAATTAATTTTATTAAAATAAATATTTTATTAATATCATTATTATTAATTTATTAAAAATTTATATCTTTATAGGCTATTCATTTTCACTATTCAATACAGAAAATGGATAAAGTTTTACATTAAAAATAAATAAAACTTGGCTGAATTTTCTTTCTTTCTTTCTTTTTTTTTAATAAATTTTATTATAATTTTGAATTTAGTGAATTTTAATTTAAATCAAAATTTCATGAATCACACAACAGATGTTTCTCAATCATGAGCTATTAAACTAAATAGGAAAATCTATTCAAATGCTGTTTCTCTTATCCAATTACACATACATTGATTTTGACTTCATTTAATTTATTTTATTCTATTTTAGTGCATGTTGTTAGAAATCATTTAACAAATGAGAATTAATTTATATCTAATCAATTTTTTTTGTTTAACTTTACAAATATAAAAATAGTCTCTAAATACATTCATTGTATTATAAATAATTAGCTTAATACATTGGAATTTATACTATTGAGAAAATTGGTTAAATAATTCTTGATTTTAATTAAATTTTGGCTTTAAACATTCATTATTCACTGAGAGTATAGTTAATCAAGCAATACAACATTGGCTATTTATATTATAACAATTTGTTTAAGCATGGATATGTTAAGTTTATCTTTAAAATAACAAAATTTCAATTAGTGTTCTCGTTTTAAAAACCCTGCAAATGATTTCTAAATGTGTAAAAAAATTTATACTTTGATCATTTAAATATTACAGTTGATTTCATTTCCGTAATAACAAGTTAACTAGAAAGCATTACAAATATATAAAAACAGTTTTTATACATTATTTTTTTTTAAAAACAGGTATACATATATATTTGCAAACTAAAATAATATCAATTTAATTTTTTATAACTTATTTACAAATCCAGTCGGAATTAGAGAAAATACAAACAGTACAGGCTTACAGCGGCTATCTTTGAAGTCGAGGAATTATATATATATTTTTTTTAACAGCATCGACAAACCAACTTGATCATTATAGCAGAACAAAACATCAACATAGTTTCTTTTTATCTGTAAAATATAATTTTCTTACTAAATATTCATCATAATTTATTTATAAACAAAATTTTGGTTTATTAATAATGTTTATTTGCATATTTTATAATCATAATAACTTGAAATTCTGTAAGAAACATAAAAAGATTTTTTTTGTTTACAAAAATTAATGTTGTTTTCTGAATTTTATCTCGAAAATTTTCTTACTAAATGAATTAATTTATTACAAAACTAGAATTTTTACATAATTTTAACAATATATTTTTCTAACTTCTTCCAATCTTCTATCAGACTTAACGTTGTATAAATCTCCCTATACACGTTTTAATCTAAAACCACTTATATCGCGAGGTTTATCAATAATGTTTCTCTGAATACAGTATTTTATATTCATAGTTGGTTGACATTCTAAAGAATTAGTAACGAATTTCTTTTCTTGATGATAAAAGTTGATGGCTTCTTCAATTTTATCTAGAAAGTTTCTTATTATATTAGCTAATTTATTACAAAAATAGTATTTTAACACAATTCTAATCCGATAATTTCAAATTTCTTCTTTCCTCCTATTAGATTTTATCTTTTATGAACTTTCGCGCGTTCTGTAAATTCCTATCATTGAACGTAGTGAAATATGTCGGTAAACAAATTTCATAACGTTCAATAATATGGACGTTGCAGACTGTATTTTGCATTTAAAATTAGTTAAAACTTTGCAGAGAAGTGCGGAAAAAATGTTTCCACCCACAAAATTAATGTTTTCTTCAATTTTATCAGAAAAATGTTCTTATTACATTAGTTAATTTATTAGAAAAATAAGAGTTTTACATAATTCTAATCTGATATCTTCTCAAACTTCTTATCTTCTATCAGAATGAACCTTTTATGAACCCCTTTTCACGTGTTAATCTATAATCTCCTACTATTGAACGTCGTGAAAAGCATCTTTACCATTATCGAATTTTTCACATGGATCACTAATGGAAACCTTTGATAAAAATAGAATTATTAAAACGTATATTACAAGCTTAAAAACAATTTATTATTATTATAATCCTATTTAACGAAAGAGATTTATATCAAAGAAGGGGATAAAAAACATTCTTAAGATTATTGTTCTCTACTTAATACATTTATTAATTATTCATAATACCACTAATTAGTAATCTTGCTTATTATTTATGAATTTTTAACTATACTAATTTAATCCCAGATTGAAATAAACAGATTAAAATTACATTTGTTGTACTAAAAATAGAATTTATTTATGCTTTTTAGTACTTAGATGCCGTCTCCTAAGTAGATAAAGCATCATTTCAAAAATCGAAAACATGTTCACGTGATGTTTTTTCTAATGTCATGTCATTTCACTTCTTAGGTGTGCTTTGTTGTCACAGTTTATTACATTAAAGAAAGTACTGTACTTTCATATTTGTCTTTGCAAGAACAAGGGACCTAATGCATAAATGATGTAAAGTTATAATCAGAAAATTTGAAGACATTAATATTTATTTTGTGATAGATATAAGCTTATGGGTGATTATTAATAATATTTATTATGTAAAGTAAAATCTTAATATCTTCTTGTTATTCTTATTTCTTAAAAAGTAACTGTCACATTAGTGTCTATTTAAAATATAAGATATTGATCTGATAAGTTTAAAATACTTTTATTTGAAAAGGATTTTGAGATGGTAAATTTTAAATAATAATAAAAAAAGTCAATAATTGATTTATATTTGTATAAATACAAATCCTTATTAATGTCAGATAATGCAAAACTGTAATAATGCCAAGTAATACAAAATGTGTTCAATTAATTTTCTATATTAACGCCACGTAATATTAAATGCGTTAATTCAAGTAACACAAACCTAATTAACATTGTGTCAATTATGTTGTGTTAATAAGAATTAAAATAATACTGTATATACAAAACTTATTAACAGAAAAGTTGTGTTAACGCCAAATAACACAAGTATATTTTAATGCCAAATGATATAAAATGTACTTCAGTTTACACGGATTAACACAAATTACATACATTAATACAAATCTGTACCTTAGATCAGATATACCTTACTTGGCATTAATACAGCTTGTATTAATGCCAAGTAAGGTATATCTGATTTAATCCCAAATAACACAGCTCTGTTAATATTAACTTATATAAAACTATATTCCTTAATGTAAAACTGTGATAACGTCAATTAAAATAAGTCTAGTTTAGTTTCAATTATACTGTTATGTTAATACCTAGTAACACAAATCCACTTTAACTTCACAAAAAAGAAATCTTTATTAAGGACAAATGATACATTTAACTCTAATAATAAGCTGTATTAATCGAATTAATACAAAACCACTTACACATACAAGAAAAAATACGTTAACACCAAGAAAAAAGTAATTTTAGAAAAAATTTCAACTTTCAAGCAGTAAACATAATCTTTGCATAAGGACTGATACATCTCGTTTCCATTAGCCTAAGTGATGTTTAACTACGAATGGACATTGCAATCGTTTTATTCAGATGTCAACTACAATTAATCCCGATAATAAATCATTCTGTGATTACTCTAGGCAAGTGTAAGCGCCTTATCATTCTAACTGACTGAATACAATCAGATGTTTCTAGTACAATTTTACTATCTATTTTAATGTATTCCGTTGTTTTGAAATATATATTTATATTTTTCATTCAAGATTTCTTTAGTAAGATCCCGAGAGAGGTTTTGAAGCACCGTGAAATTGGGCCTTTCTAAAAATTCAATAGATGGTAAAAGACACAGACACTTCTCTAGTCCAGACCACAGGTGGGGCTCTGTCTTCGTTTCTATTGCGTGAAGTTTCCGGTCCATGAAGCGAACACATATCTAATGTTTGCTAGGGACAGATGTTCTTGTAAAAAAGAGGGAGTCGAAGAGTGTCCCTACTTCTTACAAAAGAAAAATAAGGAAGGGGGGTTTCTACCTTAACGTGATACATTTCATACCCCCACTCGCAACGAATAAAGCACCTTTTCTATACAGCAGAATATATTCTCTAAAACTTGTGAAAAGTTGCTTTTATACTACTATTTTTTTAAAGTGAAATACTTTTCTTAAATCATGGCTAAATAAAGATTTAATAAATTAAAAAAGAAAACTAATAAAGTAATTAAAAGATTCTATACTTTTATGAATTATTTTGTTCCGTGTACTGATTGTTGGCTGTAATTAAAATTATAGATAATAAAAGGCCACTCGAACAATTAAGTTTTCTGTCGATCCCCCTCTTTGATTAAACCAAGAACATTTTATTGATGCATTTTTACAAATGAAAAAAGAATTTTTGCTTTTTTTTCCTTCTTATGTTAGAGTTAATTACGTGAATGTTCTTGTTTGTATTTCAAAACATGGTCAAAATTAATCTTTCGGAATTAGAAAAGAAAATTTCAACTCTTCAAATATTATTGAATTGCAAACCTTAAATTTTAATAATGATTTTTATTGATTATTTAATCACTTTAATTTTTCTTATTTTTTTATTCTTCTTTTAATAAGTTCCAATTTTACACACACAAAAAATTACATAATTTATTTTATTTATTAAAATATTTAAATAATTAAATTTTTAAATTTCCTNTCTTAAAAATATTTTAAATAAAAATCCATAATTTCTTTATATAAAATTAATTTTATGTTTATTTAATGTTATACTTAAATTTTATAATATATAATTTTGCAAGTTAAAGTAAATTAATTTAAAAATATGCTTTATTTTAATATTGAAAACAGCTTAAAAATAAAAATTTTAAGTGATTTAAATAGACCTTTAAATACACGAAAGAATATTATTACATGAATTCAAATATTTCTGAATTATATAATATTAAAGTCTTATATAAAAGAAGATTATTTTCTTAAGTTATTTATAATTATTTATATTTATAAAAAAAGAAGTATTCTTAAAAGTAGATTTACTTGTCTCATTCAAGTTATAAGAATGTATTCAATGTTGTGATGGATTTAGGATTTGCAAAGCTCGAAAAGAAAAAGTACCATCTGGAACGGAAAAGAAATCTTAGTCTTCTTTAGAAATGGTTTTGAAAATATCTGAAATGTAGTCATGCCAAACCAAAATAAAATAGGCTGTAATATATAAAAAATAAAGTAAGTAAATAAATACTTCTATCATTGAAAATTGTGTCTGAAAATATAGTTTCAAATTTTCATATTATGTTGCGATTAAAACAACTTTGGTGTTGAATATAAAATAAGTATTTGAACTTATTTATTATAAATGATATCAGTTGTATGTATAGAACATAATTTTATAATAATTATTATTCTATTATGTATTTCTGTGTACTTTAAGGTACATAACTTTTAAACTTGTGGCGACATCTGTCCTTACAAAGTGCAAAATTGAGTTTTGCAAGGGATAAACATCCCTTTTTTTATGTTAATTCATAACAGAATTTCATTATCTTTATATATTTACTACATGTTTTGTTTAAAATCATATTTATCAGCTGTAATGCTTTACTATTATATTTTGGCAAGTAAAGATGTTTGGCAGTGGTGATGTCCTAATAAATATAAAATTTGTATTGAAATTTATTATAAAATAAAAAAGTACATACAATATATCTTTTGCCTCGTTTATTAAGTTATCTTCAATAAAACTATAATTTAAAAACACTAAGTAATATATTTTACTTTATTTTATTTTACAATTAAAGTAATAATTGTTATATTACTTAGTGTTCTTGTGACTTGATTTAAATTAATTCACGTGATAAAATGTTACATTATTCATTGTATGAAACATTTTAAAATTATATTTATTACAAATTTTAATAAATTAAAATTTTTTTTTCTTAATTTGAATGTTAAATAACGTTACAAATTCTTTATAACTGGTTAAATTTATGCAAGAATTATTTTTAATATTTATATTTTAACTTTGAATAAGCTGTCCATTTTATTGTTAAACCTTTATAAATGATTTATTAGCTTTAATATAATGAAGTTACTTCAAATTTTACATAAATTTATTAATTTTACAGCTCTCTCTCTTTGTTAAACTATAAGCCAATTTATAAAGTAAGATTTTAACGTAAAAGAAACGCTATAAATCTTAAAATACCTATAAAAAGAAATCACAAAGTTAGATTGCAAGATTTAAGAAAAATTACCAATAATATCAAAAACTATAGCTGCTTTTTTATATTAGTTACTTTTATATATATTTCTATACAGTTTGCCAGTAGAAAAGCAATATTTAGTGAATTTCTGGAACCATTTTGTATGATTAAAATTGAATTTTGTCTGAAGTTAAAATAAATCAAAACTGTTCATATAAAAACAAAATGACTAAAGCTATAGAATCTATAACTTTTTTTAGTGATAACTTGAAGCAACTTCATTCTTTAACTTTACACAATTACAAAAAGTAAAATAATATTTTTATTTTTTTTATAAAAAAATAAAGAATTATAAATATTTTTTAAGTTTCTAGTTTTTGAAAAGAAATTAATCTTTACTTTTTATTTAAAAATAAATTGAGTTATTTCTTTTTCAAAATAATACAGTTTTTAAAAAGTTTTATAGTGCATTTAAGGAAGAATATACAGTATACTGTATTATATTCTTCCTTATATAATTTTTTATAATAAAAACTANTATCAGCTGTAATGCTTTACTATTATATTTTGGCAAGTAAAGATGTTTGGCAGTGGTGATGTCCTAATAAATATAAAATTTGTATTGAAATTTATTATAAAATTAAAAAGTACATACAATATATCTTTTGCCTCGTTTATTAAGTTATCTTCAATAAAACTATAATTTAAAAACACTAAGTAATATATTTTACTTTATTTTATTTTACAATTAAAGTAATAATTGTTATATTACTTAGTGTTCTTGTGACTTGATTTAAATTAATTCACGTGATAAAATGTTACATTATTCATTGTATGAAACATTTTAAAATTATATTTATTACAAATTTTAATAAATTAAAATTTTTTTTTCTTAATTTGAATGTTAAATAACGTTACAAATTCTTTATAACTGGTTAAATTTATGCAAGAATTATTTTTAATATTTATATTTTAACTTTGAATAAGCTGTCCATTTTATTGTTAAACCTTTATAAATGATTTATTAGCTTTAATATAATGAAGTTACTTCAAATTTTACATAAATTTATTAATTTTACAGCTCTCTCTCTTTGTTAAACTATAAGCCAATTTATAAAGTAAGATTTTAACGTAAAAGAAACGCTATAAATCTTAAAATACCTATAAAAAGAAATCACAAAGTTAGATTGCAAGATTTAAGAAAAATTACCAATAATATCAAAAACTATAGCTGCTTTTTTATATTAGTTACTTTTATATATATTTCTATACAGTTTGCCAGTAGAAAAGCAATATTTAGTGAATTTCTGGAACCATTTTGTATGATTAAAATTGAATTTTGTCTGAAGTTAAAATAAATCAAAACTGTTCATATAAAAACAAAATGACTAAAGCTATAGAATCTATAACTTTTTTTAGTGATAACTTGAAGCAACTTCATTCTTTAACTTTACANCGAGTTTTAAACAATTATTTCTCATAAGTTATGATAATTAAATAATATCACCTCATAATTCATTGTAGTTTAAGAATTTTCATAAATTATATCATAGCAACTATTTCTCATAAACTGCAACAGTTTAACAATTATATTTCATAAATGGTTCTAGCTTTGAACAATTATTTCTCATAAATTATATGAATGAAACAATAACTTCATATAAATCATTTTAGTTTAAGAATTCTCATAAATCATTTTAATTAAATACTATGATTTCTCATAATTGTAAGTCACTGTATTATATTGTATTATAAATTAAAAGTAATTAAAATGGAAATAATATCTTAATTATTATTTGATAGATAATAAAGTTATTCGCTTATAAATATTAGAAATATTTATTTTTATAACAATTCATATATTAAAACGGACAGGCCAAAAATTTCCGTTTTGGCAGTTTTCCGTTTTATAAAAGTTTATGTTTCTATTAATTAATCCTTGTAGAGAATTGGAGGAAAACAGTTTGTATTCTTTTACAAAAAAATTATATTTCTTGAGACTACATACAGGATGAGTCAATTTCATTCTTTTTCAACTTCATTCATTTAAAATTTTTAAAAAAGTTTGTCTGAAAATTGTGACAATAGAATACAATGAAAATACAACCTTAACGAGCAATTATTTATTGTGACATCAGCACAATGCTGGACTGCAATTTTCAATCATATTTTTTAAATTTATTTAATTTAAAATATATACTCTCTGCCTCATATTAGTACTATTTTGCCCCTGTATATCATACTTTAATTGTTAGCAATGGAATCATGCAGGTCATCTATCTAGTTTTTTTTTCAAGGATAAATATTTGAATTGAAATAACGTGACTTTCAGTTTGCACCAGGAGTAGGTGTACAGTTAATTTGGATTTCTTGTCCCTAAGCTTTCAGCATCTTTCTCAACATTCATTTAACTAACTCCCTTCTCGAGATTAAGGAAGGACAAACAGACAGGCAGATGACAGTGGCAATTTATAGGTCTACAGTTTTTTCAAATTGCAGTTTAACAAAGAAAATACATGATACACTGTACTGTACTGTACTGTACATGATCTTGGCACCGAAAGTTAGATCATAATTAAAACTCAATTTATAACATTAATTATGACTTACTGTACATTAAAAATTCCATTTTATTTAGGATTATGTTAGGCAAAAGCTAAAGCTGGTTTCAAAAAGTCCTACCTTTCTGCATTAAACAGTTTTCTAGCTTAAAATAGCATTTTACATACAAAATCGTTCTGTTTTGAGATTTATTTTCCGTTTTCTGGAAGGTCCGTTTTGGATAGGTTTTTCTGCATATAAAAATAATAGTTCTAAAAATGCATCAACGATTTTTAATATTAATTTGAATTAAAATACCAAAAGTTGTTTGACAGTTTTATACTAAAATGTCAAATGTGAATCGAATAAAATTATATAATAATCTTATTATTTAAATGTCTACTAGGACAGATAATACTGTAATACTATCTGTCCTAGTAGACATTTAAATAATAAAATTGTAAAATAAGAACACAAAGGCTTAAGTATTAATAAAATTATTATATATTTTAAAATATTTATATTGTATGCAGTTGAGTTTATTATTTGAATTATGCATTTCTCAGTTTTTGCCGGAAACATTTACCCATGAAGAAATTTTCAACAGATTTAGATTCGATTGTTGAAGTCATACATATGTCAGGTTTGAAGTGAAACGGATTTAGAGATCATATTCAGAATAACGAGATAAAAAATGTTCAGCAACTTAAGATTTTTCACTAATGATTGGGTAGACTGCGGCTATTATAATTAGTACAATATAAAGTGGCATATCCAGGATTTTGAGAAAATAGGTGCTTCTCAAGACAGATTCGTAGGATCAAGGTCCCTTCCCCTGTCAATTTTTGGAGGATATTACTCTATCACCTCATCTTACCTAATTGAAATCATGCGATATGTGTTTTACATTTCGGTCTATTTATTGTAAAGTAACAAAACTGATTGCTTTGGTATTGAGATGATGCTGCAGCAACTCCATAAGCATCCCCAGATACGCCCCTGACAATATGTCTTTTCTGTAGTTCTCAAATTAAATTTTTGAATATATTAAAGAATTATTCACAAGACTTTTTGTTATTATTGATATTCATAAGAAATATACTTTAAGAATTATAAATGCTATTTGTTTTTACTGTAATTTTTTAGGAAGACATTTATTGTTATCTGATGAATAAAACCGAGACTTTTTAAAATACATTATTCAGATTTATGCCTTTTAACTAAAGGAAATTGTTAAAGATCTATCTTTAAATATATTTAAACAGCTTCAAAATAATAAATTTTATCTTAAGAAAGATTTATAATTCATTTTTGTTCTTATGCATAAATTCTTTATTGATTTTGTATACAAAACAGTAATTTTAAATTATAAGATTAAATTTATTTTTAAAAAGAAAAATAATTTTTCATTTAAAGTATACATATTTAGATAAAATAAATAATATAATAAATTTTTATTTGAAATATTCAATCGTATTTTTAAATACAAATATATATATATATACATATATACACAAAATTTTATCTTATTTAAAATAAAATTAAGTCAGTTTATAAGAGATAAAAATATATATAAACAAAATTTTCTAATTCTGTGTTCTGTTTAATATTTTCCATTAAGGCCTTATAGAGGTCAAGAGAATCCGAAATTATTTACCTATTTGATATTCTCGTATATTAAAAAATTAAATATCGTTTAAAAAATTATATATTATATTTTAAAATAATAAAAATTCGATTAAGAAATAAAGCATTTTCCCACTAATACACGAGGAATGTAATGGGATGTATAATTTATGAAAAATGCTTTTGAGGCCCTAACAAATGGCTCTGCTGATCAACCTGTGAGAGAATCCG